ACAGGTACTGAGAATGCCAGTAACAGCTTTGCTTGCAGATAAGGTGTGAAATGTGATTGTTAATCGTTGTTCAACTAGTTGCTCCATAACGCATGGGATATATCCAGATGATGTGAGAAGTTTACTTCATATTGTTGATGCTGCAGGGTAGTGGTCTTTATAAAGGTGTTAGATTGGCTTCTGGTCAAGATATCTTGAGTCAGCAATTGCTTATTGACCCACAATTTGTAGTTCCTCAAGCTTTGACTTTGTCTAAGCCGGATTGTCTACAAGGAAGTTCTCTAGATTCTAGCCCAAGAAACCTAAAAAAGGTGGCAAGGGGAATATGCATTACTAGAACATCATTGAAGTCAGATGCTTCAAACCTTTTGATAGTATATCCACCCAGATGTAAGATTGTTGATGCCTTTTTCTATTCTTATATTACCTCCGTTTTTATTTAGTTGACACCTTTCTCTTTTCACGCTTGCCAATGCACTATTTTAACGATTAATATCTCTAATTCTCAACATTGTAAAATTATAAAAGTGGATATTAATAAAATATACATTGAGATGATTCAAACAAGATCCCACTTGACTATATTTTATCGTAGCTATAAATCACAAAAGCTAGTCAAAGTGTAGTTGATGAATAGTGTAAAAGTCAAATGGTGTCAACTAAAAAAAAACGGAGGTAGTATATAGTTTGAGGGGGGATTATAAGCTAATTGTTTTGTTTGTTTTTTTTTGTTTTTCTCTCTCTAGCTTTGTCCGCTGAGCAGGCAACATCAGTCCGGGTTCTCCAACTAGGCAGCAACTCAGCAGTGTGCCCCGTGGGCATGTAAGTTTGGAAGCCAACAAATCTTTGTCTGTTTCTATCTACATTATGCCTGACTCCAGAACTTTACTATTGAGATTGCTTGTGTTCTTTTATTGGTAATGTTTGAAGGAACAGCTACACCTTGGTAGACATTCGAAGTCAAATTTTGATTCCACTAGCCAATAGTGAGATTGGTGACTATTGAGCAAATGGAAACCAGATTCTTTTTTCTTTTTTCTCTTTTTGTTGGTGAAGGATGCCTACTTGAACTAGTCAATTATTTGCTTTTTTCCCCTTGTTTCTTGGAATATATTATAGCATCCTCTCATTCTGCAAATGAAATGGTACTCCTACTGGAAATTTGAGAAGCTAGACAAGCTTAGAAATATATGTGTTTATTTAAGATATAGACCAGTTGTAACTTGGCTATAATTTGCGTTTCTTCTTGTTTTTTTTTTTTTTTTTTTTTTTTTTTTGGAACAGCGACATATATAGCACCTCTGATTCTGCAAATTAACTAATATTCTTACTAGATATTTAAAACTCATTCTGCAAATCTTTCCCTCCTTATCTTCATTGCAATGTACATTTGGAAGAAATAAGAAGGAATTTGCAAATGACTCATGTTGCATACTTCCTGTTCAACAGGTTTGTTTTTCACCTCTCCGCTTTGTGTGATGATGCCAGCCAAGGGAAGAAAATTTTAGATGCTGCAATTAATACTTTATTTGAGCAACCTACATCTGGAAGCTCTGAGCTAAAGCCTCCTGAAATTCCTGAAGGTAATTTAGTAGCTCGGAGTGCAGTTACAGAAGAGGAAAATCCAGCATTGGTGTGGACTGCCTTATATGTCCAGGAAATTACAGAGGTTTGATTGCTTCCCTTGCACCCCACCCAAAATGATAATGAAAAGATAAGATAAATTGGTGATTTTAATACCCATTTTCCATCTCTTTGGGCTCAACCAAGTCGTAATTTCTGAAAGTGCATTCATTTGTGTAGCAACTTTTGAATTGAGCTATATTCAGTAGTGACAAATCTGGCCAAACTTATTGGTATTCCATTACTGGATAATCATAAGCTCATGGCATCTATTTTTGCTCAAGGCTATTCCTCATGAATGTGCCTGTGTGCTATGTCATTCTTGATCAATGCCCTATCCAGTCCTTATGGTCCTGCTCATTTCTTATTGGATTGATGCGGAATTCACATCATTGTGGGAATAGTTTATATATTCTATCAACTTATGGGTTCTTCATTGCTCATGTCATTTGGATGATCCTCCTTGATTTTCATTTATCCCATCAAACATGAATTTCTTTTGCTAAAGTCAGCAAAAATTTGTTTGGATTGTTACGCAGACTGCCCACCAGCTACGTAACTACTGCTTGTTATTCCCTACTTACACATGGTCAGGGGAGGCCCATACCCCATACATGCAGCCTTGATCTTACTAGTTAAAGGCTTTAGAGAAGCTGTCTCATAAATCATAATGTATTTATGTAAAGCAATAGCCATTTGGAGAGAAGGTGCAGCTGTAATAAGCTAGCAATTGATGTTTTCTTGGCCCCCAAACCCTTTTCTGTGGAAAATAGGGGTGAACAGTTGTTGCCGAGGCTTGCAAAGGTAATCCTTTCTATTATTATTATTTTAAGCGGAGGAATGGTCACCATAATAGAGAGGGAGGTAAGGATAGAGGAGATAATTTGGGTAATGAGGAGTGAACAAAGGGTGGACTCAACCTCCTTTGGCATGAGATTGATAATTGCTGGGAAGCTGGAGATAGAATGGATTTTTTTTTTTTTTTTTTTTTTTTGGGCAAAAGATAGGCTGTGTGGTGGGATGCTTTTTTTAACCCACATGGCTGATATGAGATCAAGCTTTTGGGCAAGCGAGATAGGTATGAGATTGATAATTGATGGATGTTTCTATGATGTTTTCTTAAATTATTGATTACCAGAATGCTCTTCTGCCCCTCTTTATATCTTTTAAGTATGTCTCGTGCTTCCGGAGTAAATAGATGACTGGTTATAAGCTGGAGATTTGGGGATACCTTTTTTGGTTGTTGTCTACAGTCACTTTGGGGATTCGATATGAATTGCAGTTTTTTGAGTCTTTTTGAGATATTTTTTGTAGTTAGGGAACTTGCAAGTTTCAACGTTTTGATGGCCATTGTAGCTCTTTTATTATTAGTTCCTGTAATCTTGTGAATGATACTTGGATATGCAAAAGATAGTTATGTATAGATTTGATGGGTAATTATTACTATTCTCTTTGGATGTTAAGATTAAAAAAGCCTGGAGTTGATCCTTTTTGTTTTCCGTTGCTTTGCATCTTTTATCTTTCATGATACTTAGACAAGGTTTTTGAGCAAAACTTCGATAGGCAACCTATAGTTTTGTTAACTTTGCTTCCATGTTTCATTGCAGGAATCAGTGTCTACTATCAGCAGCAGTCCCTCTCCTGATGGAAATTTAAGTTATAATAACCTCATTGACACTACAAAAAAGGTATGTTAACTCATGTTTGAGCAGTGATACTTGTGCAAATCGACTATAGAAGATTCATCTACTATTTCTTGCTACTAAACCTTGCTTGGCGCCTTTATTTGATTGCAGTAATATGTTCACTGCTTAAATTACTGTTCTCTGGACCTTTGCAATGTTGTGCCACAAGATGGGAATTCCCTTGGGCTTCCATTTGAAAGAAGTTGAAACCCGAGTTTGCTAACTTGGTTGATATCTGGTTTGCAGATGTTTGAACAAATGTTCAATGGCGAAGAATATTTCCCAAAGGAAGCTTCTCCCGAGGATCCTAACAATGTCGAAGACCTTGGTCCTGAATAGTGGATAACCATATGAGAAAAACTAAACACAGTTGTAAAAGTTAGTGCACGACTAAAGGAATTTTATTGTTTATGAATTATGAGGAAAGTTGCTTGACCACATTGTTTAAACCAGTAGCAATTTCAAGTCCAGTATGACCACTAGTGCATATCATCTTTCTACCATATTCTGCCAATTCTGGTGTATTGTCATCTTAATACACTTTGCGCTACTGCCGGCAAAACTATGGAACAGTGGAACACTAGTAAATAGGCTTTGAAGTTCAAAATCATTAATGACACACCAAGGAGCATCTCTATTTAGCTTTGTAAAGAGAGAAAAACTCGAGTATCAAGCAACTGTAGTTACCCACAACTTGCATTCATGTTTTCCGGCGAACACTAATCCCCTCCTCCGGCTAGGGAATTGCTAGTTTTTTCACATTCAATTTTTATTGACTTTTTGTTTATTTATTCATTTATTTATTTTTTTCATGACTCCAACTATTTTTTCAACCGTGTTATTCTACTCGTAATTATAATGACAATAGTAAATTTTGTTAGTTTGCATATTTATTTTTCGCAGTACATTTAAATAGGATCTTGAAAGAGTTTGATTTATGATAAAGAATTAACACATGAGTAAGATAGGGTATTCTAAAAGTAACCAACCATTAGATATGGATGTAGAATCCATTCCGCGATTAAACAAACACAAGGTTTTCAATCAATACTACCGAGTAAACACAAATATCAGGTACTGAATTTTGCTATTAGTTGCAGATGGGTGTGGGTAGGAATAACAGTGATATAAGAGATGGTAGTCGACTAGTGGTGAAGCAAATGGTTGGTGAATGTAATTGGCAATGGAAAGGCTAGTGGTGGCGGTGGGCCACTATGGTGGTTCGTGTTGGGGTGATGAAACCACAAAGTGAAATTTCAAATTGTAAACAAAGAGAGATTCTTGGAGTAAAACTAGTAAAAGGAATGAAATGCGGTTAAACCAAATACCAAGAGACTCAAATGTGAGTTAAGACTTTCCTTTCCATTTACCATGATGGCCAACCAAATGGCCCTTGACTAGTACAAAAGAGTCTATGAACATCAATTGGTGCCCTAGAGGTCCAGGGGAAGCCGGCTCTACACTATCTCAAGTCAAAATGTCATAAGGTGGTCAAATATACTTCATACGATTGACTTAAATTTGACAGTAGTGCTCACTCAACAAGGTTCTACAACGTAACCTTAATAGATTACTAACGTTCAAATGATGTATTATACAGTTGGTGTTTGATGGGAATCACGCGTTACTGTTGGACTAGCATGACCTTGCTGATTCTCTTCACACACAGGCACCTCAAGGTCTGGTCTAGTGTCAACCACTTTCCAAGGATTCATTAGGAAACGCATCAGGATAAGTAGCAAATATCTTGGACTTGATGCTTCTCAGTTTCAGAAATATGTAGTCAAGGTCGGTCTTCATTGATTTCAAAAGAGTGTTTTTTGAAAAGTCAGCCATGACATCTGCATAGCGATTCTCTGAGTATTCATTAAAATGTGAAAGCACTGCTTTGATGTCTTGCAATCTTCCTAATATGAGGTGTTGCATTTGCCTGAGTGAATCAATAGCCTCCGCATTCATCAGAGTATTGACTTCATGAGAAACCTCTTTCGATGCAGCCCTTATTGCTGCCCTCTCTGATTCTTCCATTTCTATAAAGCGACATAAGATAGAAACAGCATATGTCATTTCAAACGAAAACAGCAAGCTTCAAAAATTCTTACTGCATAACATCCCTAATCTGTGATATTAGTAATTACAACTTCCAAAGCTCGGGTGCCAGCAATCGTACTAAGTTTTTTCTTAATCCTGTCACTCTGCTAGGCCGCTTTGTAATTTTCAGTAGTACCTAAATTATGTGATAATTGAATACGTTGCAACCCCTTGGAGAACTATGAATGATGCAATGTTAATCAACTGATAAAGCAAAGGATTAGGTTAGCACTCGCTCAATCTTGTTGGAAAAATACCTGTTAATTCCATGAATAATAATAGACAAATCAAGAACTTCCCTGGAACAAATTCGATCGCCATACTCGAATCAAAGACCTGTCCTCCTTCAGTTGTGCCGTGGTTTGGTACCCACTGACTTAGAAGCAAAATACGCCACCATCGGTACAGGTATCCCAGCAACGCACACCCCCCAAGTTTTACACAACGACCTCCGCAATTCGTGTACCCGAACTCGAAGGTTGGAATTGCTCAAGAACTTTTCAAATCTCAAAGGGTAGGTTTGTGTTTTATGTGTTTTTTTCAAACGTTATTTTTATTGAAAAGACTCTTGTTTGTATTTATAAAGTTCCAATACAAGGAAACCAATAAATTCAAACAACCTATCACATTATGTTGTGCCCAACTAGGCCCAACTAATAGCCACTCTAAACAATATTATCTGACACACACGGTCATGTAGAAGAGGGTACACGACCGTGTAGACAAGTTCGTCTGCAAAACCACACAACCGTGTAGAGTAAGGTACACGACCATGTATGACACACGGTCATGTAGTACAAGGTACAGGACCATGTAGTGGATAGTTGTACAATAATGAGTTTTCAACCAAGGAGTTACTCTCACCTGCTCGGTCGAACAAACCAACCCGACGCAGTCTGAGATTAAACCTTTCCGGTTGCATTACTAACTCCAACAATCCCCCACTAATGCAAACGGACTAGAGATCATGAAATCTGAAAAATAAATGAAAGTCTTAGTACTTAAATACTAGTTCACTTATCCTCCATTAAAACAGCTTGAGAGATTTCTCTACATTGAAGCAGCCTCTTCAGAGGGGGGGGGGGGGGGAATGTACTACCAAAGAAGAATAAAAAACAATTAAAAACTTAAGGAAATTAATCATTGAAAATGCAAAACAATCAGAATTCTAAAATTAAAAATCTCCACTATACTAAACTTCACACATAAAAACCCCACAAAAACAAATGAATAGGATGGTTCTTTATGGTACTAAGGAGCAATGTACACTACAAAATTATATAATAATAATACGAGGACTTTTTAATAATCAAATTTTAAATAAAATTATTAATCGAAACTTTAAAATTATCAAAATAAAAATTACAAAAATTGAAAAAGAAGGTGGACCTTTTGAATTAAGAACAACAATAGGGTATTTACTTCCAGTTACCAGACTAGCAATTGTCATATGTAAGCTGATGTTAGAGGAAATATTTCTGCATCTACAAACACAAAAATCACACTAATCAAAACCGCCTATAATTGAAGGGGAAACCATGAGCTCCAAGCTGCCAACAAAACCACAACTTAACTAGAGTGACAGTGCTCGCCAGCGATGGAATTGGGGAAACACCGATCGTCGGTGGGCCGGAGGCTAAGAGAAAAGCGGTGGTGGAAGGATTTACCCTTAAGTAGAGATTCTGTTTTGAGGCAAGTCATCAGTTAATGCCTTCTGTTTCTTTCTTTCATTTTTCTTTTTTTAAGAAAACACTTTTAACAGGTTGTTATAGGTTACAATCAGAAAGTTTACCTCTGGTGGGTACCTTAGTACCTTATTTGCTACCTGTCAAAGTTCAGTACCTAAGGTGTTCAGTACCCTCTATTATTATTTACTCCCATACCAGTATACCACCCTAGTATGGATCTAACTCCATTCCACTCCATACTCGTACGTTGAACCAAAAGACCCATAAGGTATTCCACTATTCCCTATCCTTGCCAAGTCTCCTTAAAGTCGTGATAGTATAATCCTGCTTCTCAAATAAAAATTTCAAGGTTTGGACTCCGTAGTATGAATTAAGTCTCCTCTCAGATAATATAGCATACATTGAACCCAATATTGAGCAGATAGAAAGCTAAAAAATTTAGCGAACAGGTTAATCTAATATTCAGATTTGACTAATAATCAATCATGTATAATAACACCAGCAATTGCTGAAAAAAATTACATATATACTCTCACAATTCTCCTTCGGTTCCCACAAATACATACAATTATGAGGGCTCCAAGGGAAAATAAATTTTACAATTTCATGCGGCAATGTAATTTTCCAAAAGCACTAGCATTTGAACCAATAAAGACACATACTATAGCAAATAAGGCAGCCAAAAACGAAAAAAAGAAGTATCCTTTCAACCTGCTTCCTGCACTTGTACTCGAAGATTTACTATTGATACTACCTGAAACTGCGGGTATGATGATTTTAGAACTCATTTTTAACCTACTGAAACTAGACATCCGCTGAAACGCCTTGTTCAACAAGGCACTATCAGCAGCTGATGCTGGGGCAGCAGGTATGGAGTCCACAAATGACCATAAAGAAGACCAAGATTGAGAACTTTCAGCCTCCTGATTTTGCTTTTGATTTGATTCAGACATACCATCATATACAACACCTGATGGACATACCCAAAAACCTCTATTATCAGCAAAATTAGTCTTTCCGAACCGATCAATTACAAGCAACCATCTCCATTGCACACACACACACCCACACCAAAACAAAAAAAAAAAAGAAAGAAGAAAAAGTTAAAAAAAAAACTTTGAATTTTCCACCACTTGAATGATGAAACTAAAGGAAAAGGTTAAGAAATTGAAAAGTTATAATCCTTCCGTTCTTTTATGTTCTATATAGAGTACTATAAGCACGCATATTAAGAATCTGTCAACAATGTAAGTGGGTATAAGATAATTAAGATAAATAAGAAAGAGAAGATAAAAGATGGGTTTGTGAAAAAAAAAAGTTAAATCAAGTAATAGAGTGTGAGGAACGGTATAATTATTGTAGAGTTCAGGAGATAAGATGGTAAAAGGGATAAGTAAAATATAGAACAATGCAAAATGAATGAACTAAAATAGTAAGCGAGAACAACAAAAAAATAACAAAAGGAAGTATGTTCAAGAACATATAAATATAAAGTAAATAAATGAATTGTTGTGATCACAAGAGTTAATTTGGCTATAAAAAAATACTTCCTCTGTTTTTTAATAAATGCAACATGTCCATTTGACACACATTTAAAGAAAGTGATTAGAAAATGAAAATTAACAAATTAGCAATATAATATGAACACCGCTAAGAGAAACATGTTGTGTTACATGTTGAACTTGTAAACAAAACTGAGGAGCTACATTTACTAAACATAATGCATCATGCCAAGTTGAAGTGTTACTCCCTCCGTTTTTTTTTTAAATGCATCCCTTTGAATTTTGCACTATTCACATACCATGTTTGACTTAATTTTTTTTTACTATTATAAAATAAATAAATGCTATTATATAATATATCATTAGATTAGTTGCAATGTCTATTTTCATAATTTAATTTTCTTATAATTTTCACTAATAAACAATTAAAGATATTAATGGTCAAAATTACGTCTCGACAAATGAAAGAAACAAAGGGAGTAGCATGGAAGACCTTGTTTGGTATTTAGTTCATTATAAGTTATAACTAGTTGTTTATATTAGAAACTTTGACTAGCTGGTAGAATAAATGTTTGAAAAGAAGTGTGATAAAATTAGATAATAAATAGCAGTTATTTTGTTGCTTAAAATATTGAAATGACAAATAAAGACTTTTGTGTGTGTGTGTAAAGACATATAAATTGACAATATTGATAATGAGATGTAAATATAAACAACTTAAGATAAAATAGTCTTTTTATTGTAAAATCTTCTATTTGAAAAAGCTCCAAAACTAAGCTCATAAAATAAGCTCTTTACCAAACAACCAAAAGAAAATATATTTTATAAAACAGTCAACCCTCTATGTTGATCAACAACAACAAAGTCCCAAAATGATTTGGGGACGGCTAACAGGAATCGTCACAAGGAACCGAGCATAGCAAGACAATTGATTGAATATAAGTAGGCGGAAAAAAATGTGTAAAGCGAAAAAACCAAGATACGGTATACAAACTAAATTTAAGAGTTTAAAAGATTGGTAAAAGGATATGTTAAAATAAATAAATAAAAAGGAAAAATGGAGTAAAACACATAACGGTTTGAGTTAACAAAGGAAATAAGTAGAGGTTGATATTAATTTGAATAAAGCTGATTTTGATCAAATAAGCTAATATTTGGCAAAACTCTCTTTACCAAACAACCCCAAAATCTAACTAAGATAGTAATTTGGATCTGACAGACCACCATATACAACACATACACATACCCAAAAACCTCCAAAAAAAACTAGTCTATGTGAGCCGATTGAGGACAAGCTGCCATCTCCATTTCAATATACAGAAAACATCAACAATTTTCCACCCAATTGAATGATTAAATGAATAGAGTGACTCATAAGGGTGAGTTTGACTGGTCAAAAGTATATAAATCCGGTCTATCTACTTAAAATAATGCATCATGCTAGGTCGAAGTGTTAGCATGGAAACTGTGAGTATGTACCTGTTGATGGTACTGTGGAGTTGACGACGCATAAATTCGGCTCATAAGTCCACGTCTCACTAACTAATTCACTTCCTTGTGACTGTGACCTATGGTATTGAAAAGGCATTGTCGGATCACTAGCTGCCACTTGATGTAATATGGCATCAGCATCATAATACAAATCAAATTCACTCAAACCATCTTCCATTCTGAAGTGCGAATCCCCCTGGATTTCTCCATTAGTAGGCTGTGAATTCTGAAGTGTAAATTCCCCATCTTCCATTCTAAAGTGTGAATTCCCCGAGATTTCTGCGTTAGTTGGTTGTGAAAGCGATGTACTGAGGCCTTGGGCAGGTCCTGGACTGAAAAGATCATCCATCTCGATAAAATCATCATCCCGGAAAAAAGTACTAACTTCCTCAAACGATTGATTCGTCACCAAACTATGATCTTCTTCACCAATAAACTGAAACATAAATAACACGCAATTTCAGCATAAAAGTTCCATAAAAAATAAAGAATAATTATAAAAATAATAAATAAATAAATAAAAAGCAGAATTCAAAAGTTATGCTATAATTATGGTGAGAAGCTAAGGTACATTCAGTAACAAGTACATTAGGTTTTCGTTAAAAATACAATAAACTTTTCAGGTTTAATGCCAAATGAGAATTGATAACATCGTATGTGATTATAAAAACAAATGAGAATGATCTTTGCAGGTGTACCTGACATGCTAATCACACAGGTCCATACAGATTTTCAGCATTTTTATTTATAATTAAATCCTAATAAACAAAAAACACAGAAACCAGAAGGAATATATAGACACAAGGAGCGAGAGTAAAGTCAAAAGGATTTCTAGCGCCATTTTGAAGCTCCATGGCAACTTTAGTGCTTTACGTTGATAGCGAAGAGAGAGGGAGAGACAACATGTGGGACTGATTGGTAAAGGGGACAAGCTAGGGTTTTTTTTTTTTTTTATCTTTAAATTTTACCAAATTGCCATTAGATTTAGTTGATAATACGTTATAGATAATTCTCACGACCCTTGCTACTTTATAAGCCTGACTATATATATTAACAAAAAAAAAAAATTAAAGTCAGCATTGACGATGGAAAACACAACCAACCTGAGACAGAGCTTGATCAAAGTCGTCGTCATCATTTAGTGGCAATGGTGCAGGCTCATTAAGCACACCGTTCAAAAACTCATCAATGTCATTCACAGAATGATCTACCTGGGCATTCTGACAAATATCAATTGGAGGAATACTGACCATCTGCTGGGCAGTATAGAGCTGGTTGCAACTGGACGTGCTTTTTGGGTAATCATCTTCAGGCCAATCCTCCTCCTTAAAAGGGGCTCCATACTGCTCACCGTTCTTAGGACCTGCACCACTCTTCTTAAAGACCTTATAAATCACATAGTAATTAAAAACATTTTTGCACCTCTTCAGCTCATCTTCCTCTAATACATACTCGTGCATAACCCAGTCCGTGCGTTTGCCACTAGGAGCACGACCCAGGTAGAAAACCAAAGTTTTCTTGATACCAACATTCCTGGCATTACAGGTAATAGCACGGTCCTTTCCAGTTGCTTTCCAATAGCCTTGTTTAGTAGCTCTGTTTGACCTTGATCCATTTGGGTACTTCCTATCCCTGGGGCTGAAAAAGAACCACTGCCGATCCCCATTCTTCAGTAAAGATAGCCCTGCATCCAAATTACACAAAAGTCTTATTAATAACCGGTTGTTCAATGCACAAGATATTCATGACTTAAACAATAGTCTATTAACGATGTGCGCAAAAAACAGTGATATCATCAAACTCAGTCAAACCATGACATCGATGAAAACTAATCTATTCTCATGACTACATGAAATAGCAGGACTATTGCTAAATGACTTTTTGCACAGCGACAGATGTTGCCATGTTATTATTAAAATTAAACCTACGAACCATCTACAATCTTTAGTAAACAACATATAAGATAACATCAGTTACTACAAACTTCGATCAATTAAACCATCACCCCGCGCACACACGAACACAAATTCAAGATCTGATCAACATTACATAAAAAATGTTACCAAATCGCATAAATTCCGCTAAAGAGATGATCTAATAATTAAAACCTATCAAAGATGAGAAACCCTACACATAATTACACCACAATAAAATATATATATATATATATATATATTTATAAAAAAAAATAAATAAATAAATAAATAAAAACAAAATCACTATGCTCTTTAGTAAACAACATGCAAGATAACATCGACTATTAGACATTTCGGTCAATTATCCATCACCCCCACATACAAATTCAAGATCAGATCAACATAACACAAACAAGATCAAAGAAATACCCACCAAATCGCATGAATTCCGTTAAAGATGAGAAACCCTACACATAATTCACATACAATCAGACAAATTAACTTATGGCCAAGTTCCTTAAATCAACCAAATTTTGGGGAAAAAAACAAGATTATAAGAGGTCAACATCCCGAATCAAGAATCAACAAAGAATCATCCAGAATCAACAAATCTTCCATGAAATCACACCGATCAAAAAAATTTGAAAAGTCAATAATCATGAAAAAGAAACAAGATCATCACACCGCGTAAATTTACAAAAACCCTAAATGAAATCAAGATTCATCATGAAAAAAAAAACCTAAATGAAATTCAACAAACCTTTCAGAATGAACAATCAAGAAAAGAAACAAGATCAAAGAATTACCCACAAACAAGAAACTTCACAAAAAACCCCAAAATCGAACGATCAATAAAAGAAACAAGATCAAAGAAATACCCACAAACAACAAATTTCACAAGAACCCAAGTTGAACAATCAACAAAAGAAACAAGATCATAACATCAAAATTGAAATTTTGTTGAGAAAGAAACATACCAGGTAAATCTTCAGGTTCGAACTTGTAAACATCAATTTCAGCGATAATATCAAGCTTCAAAGAACGACGAGAGACTTTGCGTTTGAGATAATAGAGGATTAATTCTTCATCAGTAGGATGAAATCGGAACCCAGGTGGCCATACTTCGTTAGCAGAAGAAGAAGCCGCCATTGATGTTGAAAGTGGAGAGTAGAGAGAGAAAGTAAAGACTAAAGAGTAGAGAGGGAAAAAAATATTAAAAGCGGTAAAAAATAAAGGGTCAATGGAAAGCCCTTATGAAGGAGAAATGGATGTGATGTAAATGACGAGTGACCCTTTGCGTGTAAGTTTCCAGCTAATTTTTTTTTTTTTTTTTTTCTCTTTTTCCTTTAGTTTTTAAACCCTCCATCCCTTAATTACAAGCAAATATTCCATTTTGGGTGTCCCAAAAAATTATACTTATTTCTATACCTTAAGGAACCTGTAAGAAGGTACGTTCCGATTTTCATTTAGTTTTCATTTCGTGAGTCCCTTCGTCCCTTAAATCCTTAATTACAAGCAAATATCTTATTTCAAAAAAATTAATTACCATTACTTACATTTTATCTTTCTCATAGAAAATACACATATTTTAAAAAAAAACATTAGTTACTTTTTATCTTTCCTATACAATATTCTATACTTTTTATTATTCTCATGTAACATTCTCTACTTTTTATCTTTCCCGTAAAATATTCCTCAACTATTTCCATCCACCTTAATTTCTGTGTTTTTTGAGATATTTGTCTGTATTTAAGGGACAGGGGGAGTAGTTTCTTTTTTTACAGATTATAGTCAAAAGTATTCTATAAAAAAAATGTGCAAGGGTTATAAAGTTCTTATAGCATCTCCAATGCTTGTAGTTAGGAACTTGCTTGCAATTTAGAAAAGTGCTTCCTCCGTCCCATAATAATTGACACAGTTATCATTTTCGTCCGTCCCACAATATTTGACACGTTACTAAATATGGAATGGGACCACTAATAAAAAAAATACTCTCTTTGGGACTACAAACCCCAAAACCAATAAAATCATACATTTTCTCTCTCCTCACTGCCCCCACCATCCCTACTTTTTGTTTTCTTACCATTTAAAAATACAAAATAAAATCTTTTATATAATAAACAAATGTTTTAAATGGACCCATTTGTAGTATTCTTAAATTACGTGTCCACCCTAATGTCCCAAGTATTATGAAACGGAGGAAGTATTTTATTAGATATCTTTCACAACAAAAAAAAAATAAAAAAATAAAAAAATAAAAAAACCCACCTAATGTAGGATAAATAAAATACGAAGTATATGCTTTAAAAATATACTCTGTTTTTCTTTTTTTATACTGCCGGTAAGAAAAAGGGGATAAAATTAGAGAAAAGCGACATAAAATAGTGGGCTGAGGGTAAAGTTAAATAGAAGAGAGATGACAAAAGTCAAAAACGCCTTAATTTGGTGGAGTGTAGGTACATACTAGTCTTTCCTTAAAAAAAGAAGGTAAATACTAGTCTATGTATTAAGAGGATAAATTAAAAATGCAAGGAGGGGGAGAAAATGGGTATAAAGTAGTTAATCTCTGTTTTGGTCAAATACTCAAGGTTAGACACCTTCCATGAAGGTGTGTTGTCTTTTTTGGGAAGTTTAGATTGGTTGTTATCATTTGTTTTTAGTAAGTTTAGATTAGATTGATTGTGAAATGGTCATTGGGGTTTACAGTCAAAAAGGATGAATTTGGTGCATGAATGATAATCACCGATTCAAATACTTGCTCCATTTCTCCTGGACACGTATATCAATGTTAATCTTATCAATAATATCTTTAATTATCAATAAGTATAAATCCTAACAATTGAAAATTAATAATCTATTCATTAAAACGATTCCAACAAGTACCCACAAGATTATATTTTTTTTCCTTATATATAAATCACAAATATTAGTCAAGGTAGCACAAATGAATAGTGCAAAAAATAGAAAGGGAGCATGTATTTAAAAATGGAGGGAGTAGTCATTTAGTAAATGATAGTGTAAAAAATATAGCTTGAAATATCTCTTTTTTATTTTCTCTTCCAATGCATTAGAAATTTAATTTCCTAGTAAGAAAGGTTTACTACTATTTTCTTTTTCTTATCTTTTATATATATAAAAATCGTCAAAATAGATAACGTATAACAAAATCGAGACATTATTTTAACCACATATTGTGGAATATGAAGTACTTCGTTCTTTTATAGCTATTCAATTACCGTAGATACAATTTACGAAAATATAGAAAAATATGAGTGGATGTAATTCGATAAAGTATGATAATGTGTGATTCTTGGAAAAAAAAAGGGGGGGGGGTATGATAATATGTGAGATATTGTACAAAAATTAGGGGAGGTTAAGAATAATAATAAAAGGTGAATTAATTTAAATCTATGAGTGTGTAATAAGTATAATGATTGTGAGGGTAAACGAGCAAAGATGGTAAAGGGGCAAGCCTAGAAGAATAAAGTAAAGTGAGTATGAAAAAAAAAAAAAACATATAATAGGACATAGGATTAGAAATTTGGAATCAAATGAGGAGCAATCAATATGCTACATGACGTATGGTGCATTCGGTATCATTGTCAGTTTTTAATTTTGAGTTTAAAATCGATAATGCATACACAAATCGCATTAATTTTGAAAATTGGCTATAGAAATCATTACTTTTTCTTGTCTCCATAATTTTGTTTTAATAATTAGATAAAGTGATGATTTTAAATTAAAAAAAATGCCCTTAAATTAGGTATAAATAAGAACAATGGTGGTGTTGAGTGTTAAACGTTTCTCTCGTAAATATATAAATTTGGAATAAAAGGATGTTAAGGGTGAAGTTTTGTAGGTTACATTAGTAATTGGAGTAGGTGATGCTCTAGCTGTTGCATGTATATTGAGATTGTTTTGAAAATTGCTCGGATTTGAGAAGAATTTTTGTGTTCAAAGTAATATGTTTTTTTTTGTTTTGGGTAACCTAAAATACACTTCCTTTATTTTTAAATAACGTTTGCAACACAACTTTTTATCATGTTATTTAAGGAAATAATTAGAAATAATAAACAAACGAAAGGTATAAATTTAAAATCGTAACAACTTATCGGTGATAATATTATTTCGATCAATTTGTTCATTTACCTAGTCAAATAAATCTTCAAGAAAACCACAACTACAGAGTTTATTTTACATCAAACCACACGTGAGAATAAATAAATATGGTAACAATCGATTTCAGGATCTCCTGAAATTGAGAGGGAAACTCTACACAAGAGGGATAATAATAACAGGGTTTTCGGGTAGGAACAAAGTTACTCGTATAAATAAATACGGTAAAACTACTATCTCCATTTTTATTTATGGTCTCGTTTGGTTTGATGTAAAATGTTTACTTGCAAAAATAAATACGGTAAAACTACTATCTCCATTTTTATTTTCAGGTAGGAACAAAGTTACCCGTATAAATAAATACGGTAAAACTATTATCTCTTGAAATTGGGAGGAAAACTCTACCTTTCGTTTGTTTATTATTTTTAATTATTTCCTTAAATAACGTGGTAAAATGTTGTGTTGCAAGTATTATTTAAAAATAAAGGAAGTATATTGTAGGCTACCCAAAACCAAAAAAAAAATAAAAAAAATTAGAGATCGTATTTTTATCGTATTTATTATAAAAATGGAGGAAAGGTGTAGCGGGCTCCTTTGTTCGGTTCCCTACAAGAATAGTTTAAGAGCATCATTATTGGTGAACACAAAAAAATGGTTCATGGGTCACTATCACCATTTCTCTCTCATCCACATCAACCCAACAAACCATTTACAATATTCACTCTTAACAATGAACACTAAACAATGGTTCATCATCAATACTCCCTACCCCACCTTATTTTATTTTTGTAAATATAATCTTTTTTGTTTCATAATTATAATTTATTAACCCGATGTCAATGTAATTAATTGACGTATTTAATATTTTAATCGTGATTACTAATTAAGAAATTATCGTATTTTTTTATCAGCTTTTTAAAAAACTAATTCTTGTGATTAATATTTTTTAAACAACAACGCGGCTAATTTTAATTAACAAAAAAAAGAGGTACAAATCGTGATTACAGTTCTACAACTATAATCTAGTACATTTTATTTTAAAAAAAAAACAACAACTACACATCGTTTTGTAAGATGTCCTTAGGGATAACCATTTGTTGTAAACCTAGTTGCCTAAGTTTTCGTTGTTACCAAATTTATTCCATATATGTTCGACCAAGTCGTTTTTTAGCTGCAAATGAGTCTGTTGATCCTCAATCTCTGTTCTACGAGACAAGTATAAGCCGATATCCACAATACGATCAGTACGGTACTCGGTAGTGTCCTCATTAGCGTTGCCTCCAGCATTCATAAACTCATTGGTATTAACGTTATTTTGATACGTCTCTCGTTCATCTTCAACGATCATATTATGTATTATGATGCAGGCGAGCATGATATTGTGGAGTATGTCGGTATCCCACGCCAAAGACGGCTTTTTAATAATGGCAAAACGAGCTTGAAGGACCCCAAATGCGCGTTCAACGTCTTTCCTTGCAGCTTCCTGGTGTTTTGCGAATAAACGATCCTGACGAGTTTGTGGACTCGTAATGGATTTCACAAAAGAAGCCCATCTAGGGTAGATTCCATCAGTAAGATAATACCCATTCGTATAATGATGACCATTGACTACGAAGTTCACAAGAGGTGTTCGACCCTCTAAGATGTCTTCGAACACAGGGGATCGATGAAGCACATTAATATCGTTGCAGCTACCTGGCATCCCAAAGAACGAATTCCATATCCATAGATCTCTGTCCGCAACTGCCTCCAGTACGAGAGTTGCAACTCCTTCTCTTCCTTGATACTGCCCCTTCCATGCGTGTGGACAGTTCTTCCACTCCCAGTGCATACAATCAATGCTGCCTATCATGCCAATACGTTCTTCCCCAATACGTAGCAATCTTTCCATATCTGCGATGTTTGGACGGCGTAGGTACTGATCACCGAACAGGTTGATGACACCTTCTGTAAACTTTTGGAGTGCCAATCGTGAAGTTGCCTCACTTATACGGACATACTCATCACAAGCGTCTGAAGCACACCCGTAAGCTAGTTGTCTAACGGCCGCAGTGCACTTTTGAAGTGGAGACAAACCAAGACGACCTGCCGCATCTCGCCTTTGTTGAAACCAGGGGTCATGTTGGGTCACTACGTTGAGAAGGCGCTCAAACACATGTTTACGCATTCGAAACCGGCGCCGGAACAAGGAACTTGGATAAACTGGGACTTCCGCGAAATAGTCATTGTATAACCGTGCATGACCTTCTTCGCGTCCCCTATCCTTTCGGGGCTCAGTAGATTTGCGTCGGCGTTGCTGAGTGGCAGCTTGAATAATTGGTGGAA